ATTACTAATATTATTAATATTAGAAGATATAAAACTATAAATGAAAGTATATACACTATGCATTGTTCAAGTAGGACATGGAGTGCAAAATATAAGCAGAAAATTAAACTTGACTAAAACTAAAAAACTAAAACTACTTAACTACTAAAGTGGAAATTAAATGTAAATAGTGCAAAAGGCTTTATTTTTTATTACTATTATTTATTTATTTATTTTAATTTTTTATGTTGTTTTTTTCTTTGTATTTATTACTGCCCTGCTGCTATTTGTTAATATAAGCTGAAAGTGGAGTTATATTACCCTTTATCAGTAGGATTTCTATACTATATACTATAGTTTTTGACTTAAGTCTGTTAAAAGTGACAATAAAGTTTGAATAAGAGGAAAAAAAATCAAACCACACTCTGTTTTCACGTCCCCATAGCAACATGATCTGTGAGGACACTTTTCTAAGGCTTCAGATTTAACTTGAGCAGTAAGTTTCTACGTGATATCCAACTGAACCATGGGGAACTTGTACCGAGGATCTAATAAAAGTGAGTCTAAGTGAAAACTTAATTAATTTAATTTTTAGCTTTTAAAAAAAGTGATATAATGTTTGTTTTTTTTAAATATTTCAAAGCAGATAAGATTCTGGGTTGTACGGTTTCACCTTCAATACCAACGAAATACCAAAGAGTGGTGATAACAAATAAAGAAAAGAGGGGGTTTTCATCTCAAGCTAAAAGATTCCCTTCACAAGTCTGTCAGGTAGGGAATACTCTCCCAACATCGGCACTATAAATATAAAACAGCTAAATAAAAAACTAACAACACAAACTATAATGATGTGTGTTTGTTTCAGAGTGAAAATCCAGGACCAGGCAGCTATGACTTTATCTCCAGCGCTGAAGTCAATCACCCTTCCTTCTCAAAGAAAGGCACCACCGGCTTTGTTGCATCCAAGGTCAGGGTCCCTGATTTTAGTTTAACAGAAATATTGGACGAATTGCCATTAAGTTTGGTGGAGAAATATACGGTGTAAATCCTGTGAAATATGTCAACATGATGCATTTGCATAAAGTTTGTACAGACACTCATCATTTTCAGACGATGTGTCCTAATCGCAGTGACGATCTGACAACAATTGAAAGGACACATTCATTCATTCATTCATTCATTCATTCATTCATTCGTTCATTTAGGGGCAGATGTAGAGAAATATTCATGGGGTGGCAGGGAGACTTTGATCATATAATCATATAATAATCATCTCAGCATGACTTTTAATTCCTTAATCTTCTTTTAGAGTCAAAATCTGTCCAATACTTTGTTTTGCTGATTAGAAAATGTTAACATTGTTATTGCTAGCAGCCTCACAAGTGTGTCTGTAGACTCTCAGTCCTGTTAATTGCACAATACAATTGTCTCTTATTTTTTAACTGCTCCAAATTCCCAGTCGAAACCATTGACAGTATATATATATAAGGTCAAAACACAGATACACTGAGAGAGGTCGTTGGTGGATCAGTCCCTCCAGGAAGTTGTGATGTTGCGAACAATTCAATCAATCCCTGTGAAATCAAATAAAACCACATTTGACCAATTGTTGTTTCACCAATCACAGCAGTTCCCCTGCGTAAAACATTGAGTCATATGGCACCAAACTATTGGAACAAGTTTAAACTTTTCACTTTCTCAATGCAAAAAAAAAAAAAATGTCTAAAAACACAGCAACATGCATCACAAGTTATTAAAAAAGATGCAGTGAAATCAGGCAATTTAGGCCGCAACTATCCCAAAAAAACTGTTTTCAGATCCTGCTGATTACATGTGAATACACTAAATATTCACATTAAAATGTCTCCGTCTCTATCATCCTCTCCGACAGGCTACCAGGGTTTCCGATAACCCACAGAGAGGCGTCCCGGGACCAAACACGTACAACCTGTCGAGCTCCCTGATAGACAGGTACGACTTCAACATCGGAGCCTCCAGGGTGTTCAGGTTGCCTGTGGCTGTGCAGCCGGACGGTCCGAAGCACAAAACTCCAGCGCCGAATCAATATGATGTATGTATGCAAAAGGTTTTAATAATAGATTGTCTTCTGAGACCACATCCTGTAGTCAATGTCTCGCTTGTTGTTTCCTCTGTATGGACAGGTCAGCTGTGGAAGCAGAGAGAGATTCTCCCCGGTGGTCGGTACATCAACCTTCCTGTCAAAAACTGGACGTGACACTTTTTACCGAAACAGAAACGCGCCATCGCCATGTAATTACCTCTATTTCTCCACGTCAAGTCATACAACAATCTTATTCATCAACATCAGTTTTAATTTCACGCCATCAAATGTGTTAAAGGCCACTATGAAGTGAATGACAACACAATCCAGCACGGCTCCAAGGCAGTCCTGTCCCCCTTCAAATCAAAAACTCAGAGAATCCCTGACCCAGTGGACAACCGTGTGCCAGGACCAGGAGCCTACAATCCCCATCAGACCCCTGCACCGGTGAAGAGGACCATCCTGCCGTGAGTATATACACACATATTCACTGCTGTGTGTTTGTGTCTTTTAGTTTAATGAATGTAAATTCTGTTAATTGTGTTTGAAGGAGGGGACATTATTTGGCAATATCTGCGCCACCTCTGATTGTTCCTAAGGACCCTCCCTTGCCGGGCCCCGGGCAGTACGACATAGGGAATTATAACGGCCCGTCCAAGCGTCCAATGCCCACTGCTGCGTTTGCATCCAGAACCGAAAGAGTACCTCCAAAGTCAC